AAAAGACCAGAGAAGAAAAAAAAAGGAAAAATAAATATATTCAAACTATAGGAACAAACAGCTCTGTTAGGTTGATAAGTTATTTAAAAGCTGCAAGCTCTCTGGCATGTGGTGTATTCCACTGGGTAAAAGCCAGACTAAGTGATACAAATGGGAGCCTACCTTACTTCAAACTACAGATCTTCAAACAGCTTTTGAATTTGACAGTTTGTCTTTTCTTTTTTTTTTTCTCCACTCAGATACAGAAATTAAAGTACGGTTCTGCCTGAGATTTTGAGTGCAAGCACTCAATCTTTTAAGAGCACATAGTGTTACTGGTCTCCTGGGGACGGAAAACCAATATAGGCAAAGATCTTTGCTCTCTGCATACACATGTCCTTGACATGCAAACACGTTTCAGATGTGTTGCCAGAACACCTGGCACTACAGTTATTGCCTGGTGAATGTACAAGTATCCAACAAGCCTTTATATTTGAAAGACAGCCAGAGTATGAGTTATGCTATTTATATCAACCCATGAGACTGGAGAGGAGGAACTGATCTCCACCTTCCCCTAAGTCCTGCCCACCACTGATCTGCCCCAGTGTATAACAGGCTGCCAATGCTGCTATGGTATATGGATGTTTCTATGTGGCTCCATTAAGAGAAACAACCTTCTGCTTTCAAGCTCCGTCCCTGTCATAGAAAATAGACTAGGCTGCTTCCAGAAAGAGCATTTGCCACTTCATTTTCTATTATTGCCACAATGCTGGATCACGTAGCAATGCCTGTCTAAAGTCACTCTTTCCTGGTGGTAATGAAGCCATACACTAATTCCCTGCACCAAGAATGGCATTAGATTCTTATTATAGCACATTCAGGAACAGACATGAATACACAAAGTACAGAGACTTCAACACCAAAGTAAATTGTAGATGCTGACAATCACGAGCAAACCAATAGTAGCACATGCCATTCAGTTAGGCCTGTGACAATGTGTGTCAAAGTGTTGTGTAGCAAACATATCAAGGAAAAAATTCAGATGTGAAAATACAGGATTCTTGGTGATCTTTGCCCAGCTCACGTCATCAACATTCAGTCACTGAAAGCTGCGAAAAGTAGAGTTTGAGGTATCTGGAAACTTGGAATTGCCTATTCCCACAACTCCATTATTACACAAGTTAGGATTGGAGAAGGAAAAGCCAAGTCTTGCTACTGCAATTCAGGATGTGTTCAAGGCCAGACGGAGAGTCCATCTGGTCCAAGTAGTTGGTCTAAGCTAAAACTGGATTCTGGATGCAAAGGGAGTCCTAAGATTGTAGACAAGATACATCCTTCTCCTTCCCACAACCACAATCTTCAATTTCTATTTTTCAAAAATAGAAATTGTTTCAGCATTGTCTTTTTTATCTCTCAAATTGTTGGTGATGAAGCATCTTAAACAGTCCATGACTACATAGATTGTTTGGTAGGGTGCAGAATGCCTGTGTTCCACTGCTACTTACTAGTAATTTATGTGTAAAGGGCTGGTACAAGGCTGAGCTCATGTATACCAATAGAATTTCTGATGTTTTACAGTCCTGCCCATCATAATGACCTGGCCCATGAATCCACTTGTGATAACCTTGACCATCAACAAAAGGTCTTCAATTCCTGCCTAAGAAACTGCAGAGAACGTGTACTGGACGCTGACAGAAAAGGGAAGGTCTTTCTCTCATATTTGAGTCTGGCCATTGTTTTTAATTCAGATCTTGTTTTCTTGCACAGCTCCAGTGAGAGCAAAGGATGGGAACAGAGAGCTGGGAGAGCCACCAACACAAAAACAGCTGAAATGTGTTCTCTCAGGCAAAAAGCCAGAAATCATGAGGCTTACCGTCAGGAAGATACTCTCTGTTAACCACAGTGAAAGCAAAAGACCTTCACTGTATGTCTCTCCTAATCACAGTGTCTGACTTCTCCACTTCCCCCTCAGCTCTGTCTCTTCTTCAAACAGATTTCACCAATCTCACAAAACTCACGCATTTACAGTCTTCCAGGCATGTTGGTGGCACCATATCCAATGGATGAAGCAAAGATGTGTATATTTTCTGTGAAAAAATGAGGAGTACAGATTTCATTAATGACCAATGTTCAACTGAGAACTGAGCTGACAGTGAAAAGCTCACTGTAAGTCACGAGGCTGCACCAATTTGTTCTACATTATGGACCTTGCATTTACTCATTTACCTGTTGCCTGCAGAGAAACCTCTTAGCATTTCCTTTCAGCTGATTAGAAACAAAACTAACGCAAGCATTTTCTAACTAATTAATCAGGAACTTTCTTACAGTGTTTTTCAGCCATTCTTAAATGGTTTTAATCTGTGGTCAAGTGGTTACTCTCAGATACTAAACAAATGGTATCATGAAGTGGAAAGTCTCCTAGCTACTAATGGCACCCAACATTTACATTCAAACCTGTTTTCTTCACCCATCTAGCATCAATTTAAATTCCTCTTAACAAAAATAGAGGGAAAAATCAGCTTTAAAGGAGTAGAGTGGAGAAGACAATGCTTCAGCAAAGCTATTACACATAGTAATGTCTGCAGGAATGAAAAAACCCAGAGGGTTTCTCATGCGACTTGAGAAGAACAGAGGTGTGAGACTGGGGTGTAATTACATCTAGTGCTGTCTGCAGATATGCTGAAAAAAAAGATTGGATATTGAAGAACAACACAATGTAAACAGACTATAATGGGCTACTTGACAATAGTATAGAAAAGGCCAGAAAAGGCTAGGGACATACCAGTTATTACTTACACCATTGTAACTACAAAACAGTAATATTGCCAGTGTTTAAAAACAAATCATATGTAGTATTTCTACCATTAGTCCCATCAACGCCATTAAAATAGGGAATTTAACATGTAAGACATAGTGAAATGCAGCTATCCCCAGTTTTTAGAAGTGGAAGTAAAGGGGAGGATAAAGATGTGACTGTTACCCAATGTGCCCGAATGATGCAGACATTAATGAGGACTTGGGAGGTTTTGCTCTTTCCCTGGCTGTACCTGCCCAGCCTTACTGGGCCACTTTCTGCAAGTTGCTTCTCACTTCCCTGCTTCAGTTTCTCCATTAAAATATTCTTATTTTAGCAAATGTTTTGTGACTTACTATCATAAAGCACTATATGAGATCTAGTTATGATCTAGAAATTGTTCATTGAATGAAAATGCCCAGGCAACAACTTAAACCTAATCTGACCCATCCAAAAATCTTTCCTGTGCAGAGAAAAGAAGTAAAGATGTAAATAGCAATTTACAAAAGTCTCTGGCAAACAAGCAAACACCCTAAAAACAACCTAGGATAATACAACATTTGTCCAGTATTTCTTGTATCTTTTCAAAATGCAGAGTGACAATTAGATATACGGGAAAAAAAGTCAGAACACTATATAGATATAAGGTGTTCCCCAGCACAACCATTACTCTTCTATGCACAGTGACTCCATCTTCCAGGCAGTGCACAGCTCTGAGAACTGCACACGCAGCCTCTGCCAAGGCCAGTCCTGTGTTCAGGTGTGGCTGTGCTGAACACAACTATCCTACATCTATTCCTGATCAGCACTGGAGTCTACTTCTCATGCACAGGACACTTCAACACATTTTTCTTTCTGAAGCCTAAAAATATCCTTTTAAAGGCTTCTTAAAAGTCCTTTTAAAATTCTACACCCAGACCACACTTACTGCTGACAGTCTGCATGACCTGAAGAACTTTATGCACAGCATTGCAGTTTTACACTAAGTGCATTAAAACTAGCTATGAAAGCATATGCATGGAAATTACTAATGGCTCTCTTGAAGTATGCATGGAGAATTAGGGGTAGTATTTAGCACTTAGCATCCTAGTCTTCAGAGTTGAATTGCATTTACTTTAGCACTCTCAAAGGCAAACAGGCAAAACTGTCCAATAATGGAGTTCAAGTAAAATCCTATTTTACCCATTGTGTCTATGATTCAGAACTGAATTTTGCAGAGCAAAATCATACATCCTCAGCAAACGCTTCCAAAGGTGCGAGCTTTGCACGCACTCCCTCTCCCAAACCAAATGAAGCGGCTTTAAGGCAATGCAGGTGTCTAAGCTCTTCGCACTGGACACCACATAAGCCACACAAGATCTGCAGAGACATGATTCCTGATGGCTGTAAGTCGCCCTCATGAGCCCAGCGACGCCCAGTGCGCCCAGCAGCGCTGCTGGTGCACGCTTTTCTTCACAGCGCTCCGGGGAAGGAGCCAAAGCCAGAGCCAGCACTGCTCGGCCTGCGAGCTCCTGCCCGGCCGCGGGGCAGCCTAAGCCGGGGCCGCCGGGAAGGGCCGCTGTGCGGGTGCGGGTGCGGATGCGGATACATATGCGGGTGCCAATGCAGATGTGCATGCGGGACCCGACTGTGCTTCCCCCGCTTCGCCGGCCCTGCGGGCAGGAAAAGAACACAAGGGTAGGGCAGGGCAGGGAGGCACATGATGAAACTTCGCGGCGTGTTTCAACAGCAGCTGGCGGCGGGGGAGGAGCCGGCGGGAGCCGCCTCTTCCATCCCCCGGCGCGGCGCGGACGGCGGCTTTCCGTGCGCCGGCGGCCGGGAGCGGGTAAGGCAGCGGAGCGGGAAAGGCACCGGGCCGCGGGGCTGTGCCGGGCAGGGCCGGCCGGGGGCCGCCGCCCCCAGGATCGCGGGCCGAGCAGAGCCGCACAGAGCGGCCTGCGGGGCAGCGGCCGCGGGGCCCGGCTGGCGGGGCCGGCGGGCCCGGAGAGCGGCAGCCGCCGGAGGGAGGGGTGGCCGTGCCCAGGGAACCCGGGGCAGCAGCGTGCGCCGAGGGAACCTGCTCCCAGTACCCGCGGTCGCACGGAGACCGCGCGTTCCCGGGAGAACGCTCCAGCTGGTGGGAGAGCCTAGCTCCATGTGCTGAGGATGAGGTGCGGAGCGCCATCACTTGTCCAGATGGGAAAGATGTGGAGGGAACAGTGTGGCAGTGCCGTGCTCGCACTGGCACGCCTTTTGCAGCCCCCGAGTCCCTGGAGCTGTAGGCTTTGTAGGTCCCTGAACCCTAATCCTAATGGCCCCTTCGGGTTGAGGTCCTCAGCAACATCACTTGATACGGAGGTCCCCAGCTGCAGCCCACCTGTACTATTAGAGACCTCTGCTGTTACTCTGAGAGCTATGAGGCCTGTGTATATCTCCAGGGACACTGGGACTGCAAAAGGCATGCCGGGGCGAGCACGGCACTGCAACAATTGCTCCCTTCTCATCTTTCCCATCTGGGGCTACCACGCTGCTGGGGAACTCCAGTCTAAACCCATCGTCTTTTGGATTGAAACCATTCCCCCTTGTCCTATCACTACAGGTCTTGCTAAAGAGCCTCTGTCTTTGTTATAAACCCCCTTTGTATGTAAAGGCAAGAAATTGAAAGGACCATTAATGTTTCTGCTGAGATGATGTTACTTCAAGAGATCATACTATATTCCCAGTAATTACTTGTTCTGTTTGTGCTCTATGAAACAAATCATAGACAACTTTGCTGTATTTAAAGGTAAAAATTAAACCTAATTTCTTGCTGTCCAAAGTTTGTTTATCATACTCTGGGCAAGCCAGGTTTTACTTAGTAAAGTCTGCTATTCTTTTGATCAGTCCTCTTGGCAGTTAAGTGATTAATAACCTACATTTGTTATCTGTGTTTTGTAGGTATGTAGTGGGTTGACCTTGGCTGGATGCCAGGTGCTCACCAAACCACTCTATCACTTCCCTCTTCAGCAGGGTGGAGTGGGTGGGGGAAGAAAATATGATGAAAAAAGCCCAACACAACCTCATGGGTTGACATGAAGGCAGTTTAGTAAAGCAAAAGTGAAGGTCATAAACAAGCAGAAGAAAAAACCCAAAGATTTTATTCTCTTCTTCCTATCAGCAAGTGACATCTGGCCACTTCCTGAGAAGCAAGGCTTCAGCACACATAGTGATTGCTCTAGAAGGCAAACATCATAAATAACGAATGCCCCCCTTCCTTCTCCTTTCCCTTAGATTTTTTTTTTATCTGAGTGGACATCATACGAAAAGGAATATCCCTTTGGACCATTTGTGTTAGCTGTCCTGGGTATGTTGCCTGGCTATGATCAGGCAACATCTTGCCTGCCTCCAGCCTGCTGGTGAGGGGGGAATTGGAGAGCACTGATGCTGTGGGAGCACTGCTCAGCAGTAGCCGAAACCCTGATGAGATACTATCACCTTGCTAGCTACCAGTACAAAACACAGCACTGTGAGGGCTGCTGAGGGGAAAATGAGCTCCCTCTCAACCAGACTCAATATAAAGTGTCAGCTCTTGCTTGTAATGTTTGTGTCTTTATTGAACAGGTTCTCCACTTGTGTGTAGAACAACAGCCTCACAATGTGCGGGATCTGGGCCCTTTTTGGGAGCGACGAATGCCTTTCTGTCCAGTGTCTCAGTGCCATGAAGATAGCACACAGAGGTCCTGATGCATTTCGTTTTGAGAACGTCAATGGTTTCACCAACTGTTGTTTTGGTTTCCACCGCCTTGCAGTTGTTGATCAGTTATATGGTATGCAGCCTATCCGGGTGAAGAAATTCCCATATCTGTGGCTGTGTTACAATGGAGAAATCTACAATTTCAAACAAGTAAGTGTTTTATGGATGATACGGCTTTTTTTTTATTTGTCTTTTTTTATTTTTTTATTTAAAAATTAGTGGATATTCAGAAAATCTTTAAAATGTAGAATAGAATATCAGAAAAAAATTTAATACTGAAAAATCACTTTTTAATTGACAAGAAGGGCAATAAGTATTTGTATGTTCAGGTTTGATCAATTTTAAATAAAGATGTATTCTTCATTATCTCTTGGGTAGAGGAATTTCAGACTTCTTTCTCCCCTTTTCTCTTCGTAATGCAAATGCTTTTAGACTGTCTTGCTCTTCCGTTATTTTGGGTTGTCAAACTCCAAGTTGTTTGGTATTGCCTAAGAGATCATCCTGGATAATACTTTTGTAGTGGGTTTACCCTCACTGAATACCAGGCATCCACCAAAGCCGCTCTATCGCTCCCCCACACAAGTGGACAGGGAAGAGAAAATATAGTGAAAGGTTCATGAGTTGAGATAAGGACCGGGAGAGATCACTCACCAATTACTGTCATAGGCAAAACAGACTCAGCTTGGGGATATTAATTGAATTTATTGCCACCAAAATCAGAGCAGGATAATGAGAAGTAAAATACATCTTAAAAAAGAAACCTTCCCCTCACCCCTCCCTCCTTCTCCTTCCCCTCTACCTCCTCCCCTCCAGCAGTGTAGGGAGATGGGGAGTGGGGGTTATGGTCAGTTCATCACATGTTGTTCCTGCAGCTGCTCAAGGAGAAGATTCTTTCCCCTGCTCCAGCATGGGGTCCCTTGCACAGAAGACAATCCTCCATGAACTTCTCCAATGTGAATCCATCCCACAGCAGCAGTTCTCTATGAACTGCTCCAGCATGGTTCACTTGTCCACGAGGTTGCATTCCTTCAGGCACAGGCTGCTTCAGCGTTGGTCCCCCACAGGGCCCCAAGTCCTACCAGGAAACCTGTTCCAGCATGGGTTCCCCTTTCTGCCGGTCAGCAGGTCCCTGCCAGGATACTGCTCCATCATGGGCCTCCCATGGAGTCACAGCCTCCTTTGGGCACCCACCTCCTCTGGCATGGGTCTCCTCCATGGGCTGCAGGTGGATCTCTGTGCCCCTGTGGACCTCCATGGGCTGCAGGGGCACAGCTGCTTCACCGTGGGCTGCACCACCGGCTGCAGGGGAACCTCAGCTCTGGCACATGGAGCACCTCCTCCCCCTCCTTCACTGACCTTGGTGTCTGCAGGGTTGTTCCTCTCACATATTCTCACTCCACTCTTCCCTGGCCACAATTTCATCTGCGCAAGAACTTTTTTATTTCTTCTTAAATACATTATCACAGAGGCATTCCCATCATTCCTGACTGGCTCAGCCTTGGCCAGTGGTGGGTGTGTCCTGGAGCCGGCTGGCATTGGCTCTGCCGGACATGGGTAAAGCTTCTGGCAGCTTCTCACAGAAGCCGTCCCCTGTAGCTTCCCCGCTACCAAAACATGGCCATGCAAACCCAATACAACTTGGAACACCAAAGTATAATTTCCTTCTTTGGTGGAAATATTTATATAACTTTTAAAGTGTGATTTTACACAAAAAAAAATAGTTTTCTTATTAAACAATTACATGAATGGTGTTGCTTTTTCAGTTAGTAAGCAGGCAATGTTTGCAAATGCTTACTCATGTTTATCTTTTTTCTTAGCTGCAGAAGCAGTTTGGATTTGAATATCAAACATTAGTGGATGGTGAGGTTATCCTTCATCTTTACAACAGAGGAGGAATAGAACAAACAGCATCCATGCTAGATGGTGTATTTGCTTTTATCCTTCTGGACACTGCAAACAGAAAAGTGTTTCTGGCGAGAGATACCTATGGAGTCAGACCACTGTTTAAGGTGCTGACTGATGATGGATTTTTGGGTGTCTGTTCTGAGGCAAAAGGTAAAACTAGTTGTGTTTAGTGCCTAAATAATCTTAGGTATTGATGTTGGAGACAAACTTCTTTGTCAGGCTTTTCTTCTAAGTGTGAAGAGAAAATGAAATGTAAGTTCAGTAATATATGAACTATATTTAGTAGTATAAGAACTCTACACATCATTAAAACAAAAACCTCCAAGATGTTTAATTGTCCTTAATATCTCCTAAATAACTTGTTTATTTAATTTTAGAATTCTGTGTTCTGGAATCATGGCGGTATTGAAATCAAGACTTTTTTTTCATGTTACCCCAAAGTTAAATTCAGTCTATAGAGTTAGAGTAGATTTATTCTACAATAAATGTATTACACTTTGTTCCTGGTGTTCTATAATGAACTGGGAAATAATGCCACAAGAACTGCTAATCTGTAAAAGCCATAATTTTGAAACCTTACTGAAATTGCCTGCAGCATTGGGTAATTTTCCAGTATCTCTTATTTTATTTAATGACAATTTTTTTCCTTTGACAGGACACATCCACTGCCCTGTTTTTTAAAGTAATGTTGGCACTTTCATAAACAAATCCGAACAGTGTCAAAAGGGAATTTATTGCCTAAAATGCACTTGGGCTAAAATTTACTTTCACGATTGCTTGTGTCTCTCCCATTTACTGTGCATCTATTTCATTATCAGACCAATATAGGTTGACTCATCTAATAGTAGTACTGTGTACTAGTACTAAGAGCTGTACCATCTCTGCTTCTTGTGAAGGAAGAAGGGAGGTGAATGTTCTGGAGACTCTGTCCTATAACCATTGCAGTGAATTACCAGTCCCTCTCTAACACCAATTCAGTATCTCTTTGAGGACTTCCTCAAGGGGCATCCAGGTTGCCAGCAGGTGCTCAACATCCTCTTTCACAAGAGGAATGTAGATAAAGTTTGATTCTTGGCATTCAATACCAGTGGAGTAGATCAGTCTGGAGCCGATGAATTATGAAATCACTAAATCAATGTCAATTAAGTTATCATTTCAGTGATGTTGCTTTATTTCAACCCCCTTGTTAGCTTGACTACACTTAATTTTAAATACAAAATCAGTTCATAATTGTCATTTGAATTTTTATAAGCATATTACACCTTGACCCGGACATCATGTAGTCAGTTAGAAAAATGATCTTCTTAATGCTCACAGGGATAAATTGCTGCTTGCCAATTAGTAAAACTTTCTGGTTTGTTTTCTCTGCTGTCTGCCTGAGCTTGAGATAGCTCAGAGCTATGTGTGCATCCTGCCAGAAGCAGAGTCACGCTATAGCCAGGACTGACTCTGACTTAAAAGGATATTTTTTAATACCAGATTTAGGATCTGGAGAAAATATTTGTATATAGTTTTAGTACAGAGGCTGTTGAGTGAGGTATAACTTAACCATCCTAGGTCAAAAACATTGACATTTTTCTTTTTTCCCATTTCATGTGTAGGACTTATCAACTTAAAGCATTCAACATCCTTATGTTCTAAAGTGGAACCGTTTCTCCCGGGTCATTATGAAGTATTGGATTTAAAGCCCTCTGGCAAGGTTGCGTCAGTGGAATTAGTAAAATTTCATAGCTGTAAAGATGAACCGCTCCATGTTGCATGTGATACAGTGGAAGCTCTGCCTCCAGGTAGTACTGCAAAGATTTTGCTATGTATACTGATTTAAAAGTGAAAAAATCATAATCTTTGAATATAAAATTTGTACTGATTGGTTTAAAAAAACCATTAAAGAAAAAAAATACCAACTTGGAAGAACTTTTAAAATGTAGGGACTTTAGAGTTGTTCTTGTAGGTAGTTGTGTACAAAGATGGACTTGAATGCCTTTGTTATCAGAGGAGATTCAGACAAATATCTTTGTTTCCTAATTAGCATAATCCATTAAAGTCTAAGTAACCCTTTTTGGACTTTTTTCCCCTTCTCTTTTCTCTTTTGAGCAGGCTTTGACCTTGAAACGGTGAAAAGCAACATCCGTATTCTATTTGAAAATGCTGTTAGAAAACGTTTGATGGCTCACAGAAGAATCGGTTGTCTTCTGTCAGGTAAGTAACAAGAACCACAATGATTCTGTATCTTCTTTCTCTTTTGCTCATCCTCTGCTAGTTAGAGGAAAGTATATTGGCTCTTCAACTGTGATGTACCTGAAGTGATCTGAATCTTCATTTGCTTTTTAGAACAGAGAGCAGAGAACTTGTTAGTTTGGGATAAAGTTCTCCAGTTTACAAATATCTTGAAAGTCTTACGCTTTTAAAGTTTACTCTGGCCTGGGATCTTGGCTTGTTGAGACACCATTTTTAAATAAGAGGAAATAAATATAGTCTTATTGAAAAATCACTCAATATATTCTTAAATACATGAGATTTATGCTTACATTGGTGTCTAAAAGATAAATGTAATTATTACGTTCACTTTGCACAGATTGAGCCTAGAAAAAAAGCCTTGGCATGTTTCAGATAGCAGGAGGAATTGAAATTCTTACTTGTCACCTTTGCTATAGTCTTCATCCTAAACTCCCTTGATGTACCAAATTACAGGAGGCCACCTGGACCAAAATTATTTGCTGCACTCTTTTGCAGATGAGGTAATAGCATGTGGTACAGGAAATTGTTCACTGACTTAGCTGATCACTGTTGTGATCTGGTGGTTCAGTGTCACAGAGGTACTTTACAGAGCTAAAGCTCTGTAGCCATGGGACTGACACCTTATTTCCTGTGTTTGTGTAGCACTTTTTACTTATGGTTAGAGTTCATGCTGTTCATGCATTCACTGAACATCAGTAATTACACTCTTTTGTCATGAACCCTAATAAATGTGCATCTGAATGAGAGACAACTGACCAAGAGATACTGTTGGACCATTTCACTACTATGGCATCGTAAAAAGTAGGAAGGAGGTAAATTAAACAGGAAGATATGGAGAGTTGGGAGATCCAAATCTCAGTAAAAAAGCCTGTTTAAACCCCAGATTTCAGATGTCAAATTAGAAGGCAGTCAGCAGCTCCTCAGATGCACATGCAGAAAGCTGTAGTAGCAAAACTAAGTGCCTGTGCTGGCATAATACCAGAGTATTTCAGTGCTTCACAGTTTTGAGTATGCTTGGCACATCACGGTTAGAGAATTGCTTCTGTTTCCAATCACAGAGCGAGTTCTGCAATTTCACAGTGGAAGTTCAATTTTCCTGATTTCTGCCTCCTAAGCACTCAGTTTGTTTTCTGTGCTCTCCTTTTGTCAGGGTCTGCATGTAATTTCTATAGGATTTTTTTTTACAAGATAGGATGCCCACAAAGTGGATCAGGGTGGGAATTGATGCTAATGCACTCAGCTGAAAAAACGTGTGCAGCTTGTAGGAAGCAAAGAGAAGAGGGTTTTGCCTCATACTTGTCAGAACTGCAGGCAGATGTGGGCAAACAGGTACTGTGTTTTACTCAGTACTTCAAAGGGGAGTAGCAAGTAGAACTAGTCAGGGATTAGCAGAACTAGCTCATGAGAATAAGAGTGTGGACCCTTAGAGTATTGGCTTTATTGTATTAGAGTATTGGCTTTATTGTATTAGAGTATTGGTTTTATTTTTTACTTTTCCAAACTGTTCAAATCTTTTCACTGTCCTCTAAAAAGATGAGGAAAAAAGAATGATTGGGAAATGCTTACACTAAGCATTTTGGTTTGTTACTTAATTCTTTTTTGTTCAAACAGAAGAAAAAACCTCCATAGTCCTGTCAGTAGACTATCAAATGTGTAGGTGAGAAGAGGATAGGGAGCCGTTTTGAAATGAAGAATAAATCCCATTTTGGCAGAGTTGAGAAGGAGCATGTTCTCTAGCAGTACAGTGTGTTCAGTGTACTTTCTGTGTATCTTAAAGAGGTATTTCCACTGGTGCTTCTGACACCAAATAACAGCTGTTACTAAAGACATTCTACTAAAGTCACTCGATTCTCTTGTTAAGCAGAGGTAAAGGTACACTTGTATGAGAAGTACCTTGTATTCACACAGCTTAAAAATGAAGCCCACTCATAAGATTTCAATATCTAGATTCAGTGTTCTTAAGGGGGAAATAAAACATCATTCAAAAGCCTAATCAAATAATTTGTTTTGTTGGCAGGGGGCTTAGATTCCAGCTTGGTTGCAGCTGTTCTTCTGAAACTGATGAAAGAAATCAACATCAGTTATCCATTACAAACCTTTGCAATTGGAATGGAAAACAGTCCTGATTTACTGGCTGCCAAAAAGGTATCCTAAGCGCTGCTTTTAGTTTGTTCTGAGCTGGTGAATGCTAAGCTGCGTATTAGTGGTTCTAACTTCATGGTATGGCATTAATAGTAACACTGAATACTCATTTATTGCTAGGATGTAAATCAGTTTGCAGTATATCATTTAGTACAACATTTGCTGCTTAATCTGACAAAGAGACAACTGAACCTTATCTGTGTTCTCTTGAAATCAGAAGGCTTTCATGACACGGTCCCATTGTGTTGTTGCCAAAAGGACAGTACTTTGGACTTGTCTCAATTCTGCCTCTGGGTTTTAGGGTAGATCTCCATTCTATAGTTCCTATACTATGACATTTGTATATATGTTAAATATTGCAAGTTAATCATCACTTTTCTGAATTAAGTTCTTTGTACAAACTGTTTGACATCTGGGTTACCCCTGAAGTATGCAGGCTGTCATGACTTTTGAGCTGCTTTTTCTCTTAAGGGCAAATATCTGGAGTATTTAGAGCCTCTACAGATTTGGTTATGCTTTTGGCAAGCAGCCGGATGGTCTGTTGCAATCATGATTGAACACTGTAGTCAGGGAGACTATGTTCTCTCTGGTGAATGTACCACTGCAAGTCAGAGTGGCTGCTAAGTAACATCTTTTCTTGGCCTAATGTCATAATTGTCACTGTAGCAGAAGGGAGCTGGTGCTTTTGCTCAATTTGTGTGTTTTAAACACAATGCATATTTATAAAATGTTCTAGTTGAAAAGGAATACATGATTGTAACCTTTTACAAACAGGTGGCAGCACATATAGGCAGTGAACATCATGAAGTAATACTTAATACTGAAGAGGGAATTCAGGCAATAGAAGAGGTCATCTTCTCATTGGAAACCTATGATATAACAACAATAAGAGCTTCAATTGGTAAGAATTTTTAATGCTAATCTTTGGATTATATCACCCAAATAAAATTTTGTGCAAAACCATGTGGTCATCTACTAGATCCCTTAGCTGACACAGAACCTGGGAACTGTGACTCTGAAGGTCTGCTTCCCAGTCTGATCTGTGATACCACAGTGAGGCAAAAGCACTTACTAGTTTCCAAATCCCTGACTGCAAAAAACAACTGTCAAAAACTGTTCCTTAAGCTTTTGAGATGAAAAACAAAAGTTATATGAAGAAGAAACATTAGATCAGCAGGTCTGGGTTTTCTGCTCTGATGAGTAAGAACCTTGGAGAAAGGGGGGAAATTTAAAAGTTATCTGAGATACTGAATGTTATGATAGCAGAACAATTATGATTACCCTTTCCTTGCATAATTTTTAGACTAATGGGAAGTATTTCTTGTAACCCTTTAGTAACACAGATTCTTACAATGTATGTTTGATTCTGAGAAGTGAAGGAAGTCACCAGCAGCTTTTTACAAAGCATTGCCAGCCTGATTGGAGTGAAAAACACTAATCCAATGCAATTCTGCATAATGCAAGCTACAACACTTTACCCAGTTAATCTTGTGTCATCCTAAAGTGTTGTAAAGTGTTATGAAACCAAATAGTCAACACAGTTTTCAAGGCTGAGCTCCCTGTTTGGAATAGGATTTGTGAAACACTGAATTTGTGAAATGTGAAATACTGAATGCAATTCTTTAAAAATTAAAGCCAACTTTTCATCTGTAATTTTTTCTTTGTGATTTGCTGCTTAGTATAAAAAATAATGAACTTGATCCTTTTCATGAGATTTGTAATACTTATGTTATAAAAGCATATTGTTCAGAAAGATGCATTGAGGGGAAGAAATAATTCTGTTTAATATATAATTCTTTACAAAAAATTTTTAAAAAGGGCTTTATCCAGTTCAACCCACAGTGGCAGAGACTTAAACAGCAACTTTTAGTGGTAGCTTTGTTCCCTAAGGCTAAAGGGTTTAATCAGCACTATACTGGAATTAATCACGTGCTTAATTTCAAATTGAGTCAAATCAGCTCCTCTGTGTGCTTCCATGGGAATCCCAGAATCACAAATAGACACATCTTTCTGATATTTTGAGGGCTAAGTGTTTAGATACACAGTTTAGATGTATTTGCAGCACTTAGCATGGCTGATGATGGCTTTGAGTAGCAAGATGTTACTTTACATTAGTTGTTTGCTACAGAAGGAAGTGGTGTAGGAGACAAATTTCTAAAATGCTAGATTTAAAACTACTAGCTGTATATAGCATCATACATGTAGCTGTACTTTAATATACTTTTTTTTTTAAGGTATGTATCTTGTCTCCAAATATATTCGGAAGAAAACAGACAGTGTGGTAATTTTTTCAGGAGAAGGATCAGATGAGCTGACACAAGGATATATATATTTCCATAAGGTAAATATATTCACTACACAGAAAGCCCTTGAGCTGCTTGTTTTCCTGTTTATCAGAACATCTCTGAGATTTCAAGGTGTGATGTTTGAGAGTTGTCACAACTGTATATTTGCTGTTTTTTTCCTGAGGTGGCATAAAATCCAAGGGATTTGATCACCTAAAAAGTAACTTTTTAAATCTTCAGCGATTCCTGAGACTGTTACCTCTTGGATGTAGTTTTTGCTAGTTCTGAGATCACTCTGTGATCACTACAAACGCAGGACAGCAAGCAGTGGCTCCCTCAGTGCAGCTGCGTTCCAGCCATGTGCTGCATGCATGTGTTTGGTTTCAGGCACCATCTCCTGAGGAAGCTGCAGAGGAGAGCGAGAGGCTTCTGAAGGAGCTCTACCTGTTTGATGTACTTCGTGCAGATAGAACTACTGCAGCACACGGGTAAAATGTACTCTCTTGAATGGTGAGGACTCATGGGATTTAAAAGCACAAGAAGATCTTAAAAGTTCTGCTGCTGTTGAGGAAATTACAACAGTTAACTGTTGACTGAATAACTGATTCAGAATATTGTGTGGCAGGATAATTTTACTCCTGCCTCTAGGTCTAAGCTAATCTAAGATGGTCATCAGTCTTCTGAATACTAGTAACAAATGGGGTGCACCCCATGTTCTGCTTGAGCTCCGTATCTCAATATAACTGAAGACATGACCCACTTTGGCAGAACAGGCATTGCTAATGTTCCAGGTATGCACAGGCACTCAGGGTCCCTGAGCTCTGAGTGTGTGGGGAGCACAGTATATGAGGGCAGGCAAATCTGGTCGTCAGAGGAATCATCAATCACATTTCTGTTCTAAACACTGTGAGACAAACTTGCTATTGCAATTGCTACAGGCAACGTTTTATGAAAGAAAGTTCTGTTCGATGAGCAAATAGAGGAGGAATAAAACTGAATCTAATAGCAATTGCTTACAGTACCTCTCGATTAATTGCATCTGCTTAGATGCAATTGATTCTTAGAGTAGCAGGAAAAGACTGCTGAGGATTTGTATGCCAAGATGAAATTGAAGATGTAGCCTGAAGGAATTTCAGCAACAGCAAAGCACACTGCAAAATTTAATCTGGTCTGTGACCATAGGGCCCACTCCTGCTGACCAATGCAGGAAATATCTTTTGTCTGTACTGTTCTTCACAGAAGCAGTGAATTAGAAATACCAATATTCAGAGTTGAGGAGGGAAAGCGAAGTTGTGTTTGACTTTGGGCTTTTTTGAGATTTAGACAAAGAGGAATCTTGAATCTGATCATCAACATGCATATAAAGAACTGAAACAACATCCTGAAAAGAGAAAAGCATGTGTATAGTCAGGTAGCTGACTATAATAAAGAGGTAGTAGGATACAATATGTGTGACTGACACCTGAGTGACTCTCTGGGAGTTCGTTCTCTGGGAGCAAGAGGATTTTTTTAATGTGTTTTTGCATAGATGTTGCAATGGTTGTTGCAAATCCTACAGTACTGTAGTCTTTAAATTCAGGGTACTAGAAGCTGCCCAACATATGACATCATAAATCATCATGGTCTTTAATCTGCCTGGACCATACACCTAAGTTTCCAAATTGGTGAATTAAATGCAGATAGTCATAAATACGCAAGAGAAATTCCTTCTAATTAAAAGCAGAAAACCTGGTGTTTATGTGAAAGACAGGAAAACTGTTGTGGAATTTGTAAGTAGATGACTTATGGGATTAATTCAGTATCTTTTCTGTTTATTCCCCCTGTTTAGCCTTGAACTGAGAGTCCCATTTTTGGATCATCGGTTTACTTCTTATTATTTATCTCTACCAGCAGAATTGCGAATTCCAAAGGTATGTAAAACGAGAGTTGGACCCAAGTGTAAGTGTACAAATTCATTGATACGTGTTCTAAGCATGACCAAATTGCTGAATTTAGTGGTTAAGTCCTCTACCCAAAGTCAAGCACACTCTTAAATATTTTGCTGGATCGTTGGACTACTTGGAACCCTTTTCTGACTAGACCTTCTGAAAGGAAATGTTTCATAAGTTTTTAAATCCAGATTTTTGCGCTTCCTCAGACTCATGACATTGTTTTTTGTTCTGCAAACAGAATGGAATTGAAAAATACCTTCTAAGATTATCCTTTGAAGATTCCAATTTACTTCCCAAAGAAATACTCTGGAGACCCAAAGAAGCTTTCAGTGATGGTATAGCATCAGTGAAGAAATCCTGGTTTTCTATTCTTCAGGACTATATTGATCAACAGGTACAATATCACTTTTTTGGGTCTTTTTCATTTAAATGTATTAGATATGGTTGCCAAGGGGAGGCAGCTCACATGCTTAGTTGACAGAATAAATCTGGGTATACCATTTAATGTGAAGGAGCAAGATAAACCTTCGTCAATGCTCTTCTAGGTATCTGAGTTGGTTGAAGGCGTTTGTAATGCTAGGTACAAAGAAATGCAAGAGCCTGACAGAAATGATTGTGTAAGGAAATGAATATCATTTAAGTGTCTGCATTGCAAATTATATTGTGTGTTGACAAACACAATTTCTGGGTTACAGGCAAAGCAGCTGCTTCAGCTGATGGCACTTGCATGAACTTACTCTGCTGCTGAGTAACAACATAATGACTTTATAATGTACTTTTTCGTTTACGTCATTCGTTTTTCAAAGCTGTTCCTAGCTAAGCCATTTTGCTTTTTAAAGCCTCTGCTTGCATTGCTAACCTGCATTTTGGCTCTGGACAAAGTGTAATCCTCTCTGGAGTACAGAGGTAGTTTAATCCCCAAGAGAAAGGAATAACACCGTATTTACACCAGAGCTCTGTTACACAGAAATATGTGTAATCAAGCCTGTGGACGGGTGCTTGTCTGTCCTATCACCATACCATTTTCTTTCTCTATATCCACAAGCAAGAAAGTAGTTGGGCCAGGCAAGTGTTGTGCTGCCTGTTCTGAGCCTGTACTGTTTTAGGAGGAGCACATTTATTTCATGGCCCTGAAAAGTTAGACAGCCTCTTGGCAATGGAAGTTGCTTTAGAAATTGCCTCAACTGGTGCAACTATTCATCCTCCTTTTCAGAGCCAGCTTAGCAACTACAGGTGTCTTTGCCTCTGCATCTCATGTCTTTTGTTTCTAAGAGCTTGGTTATACAAACAGAGTCAACAGTTCTCCAAGTTGAAAAAAAACCCTAGGAAGCCACTTATCTGGCAAAGTGACTGCTTTAAGATTTTCCACTTGTTTCACAGCAAAGGAAAGGATAGGAAAGATGTTTTTGTGAGTTTACTAACAAAGGTGGTTGTAACCCAGACAAATGGGCTTCACGTTTCATGCAGAGAGAAATATCAATAGCACTGGAAATACAGTTACATATTCATAAAGATCAAGGGAGTGTATGACAAAGGTTTGACCTGTGAAACCTCTGCCTCTGGAATAGACTTTTTTTTTTTGTAAACCTGTGGGCATTTAGTGGTTGGTGAATTCTTGTGTGTCTTTAAAAGTTAAATGTATTTGCAGCTTAACTTGAATTTTGTTTGTGTCTGTAGGTTGATGACCTTTTGCTGGAAAAGGCAGCGGAGAAATATCCTTTCAATCCTCCTAAAACAAAAGAAAGTTACTACTACCGCCAGATCTTTGAAAAGCACTACCCAGGGCGAAGCAGTTGGCTGCCCCACTACTGGATGCCAAGATGGGTTAAAGCTACTGATCCTTCTGCACGCACATTGAAACATTACAAGTCGGCCACCCAAGAATAGGCTGTTGAAGTAATCCCCCAAATGAAAGTGCTGCAAGCATTTTGTGTGCACTGTTTTAAGAAAACCAAACAAATTATGCAAACCTAAAGCTTAAATCCTCTTTAAGATGTATTTTGACAATGCTATTGGAAATGAGAGCTTTCTGTAGTTAGTGTACTATTAAAGATTTACCCTGCTGTACCAAAACTTTGTAATTCATGGGAAAATACTTTATGGACAGAAAACTACATTATTTGACAACTCTGTTCCTTATGTGACCTCCATTGTATTCAGTTGCCGGGCAGTTATTTAATATATTTTAATGTGAGCTCTTGTTACAAGGACTTGAATCAGGCTGAGGGATGCAAACTGCTGAAGGCCGTCTGAGCAGAGGGGAATTTGGCCGTAGCTGTTTAGTGACTTGTGTTCCTGGCTGTGGGACTTGGATAGTCTCTATATTATTCTCTTCTGAATGTCTTTCTACGCACTCCTGAGAACCGCGATGTAGTTTCCAAAAAGTATTTAGATATTCATAGCTATGCAGAGATGCTTACTAGAGATTATAATAGGTGTGGTGCTGGGTGTTAATTAATTAAATGAAGGGGAATCTTATTTTCTGTGAAGCCACCGGTTGGCTGTTTTGAGTCTTATAAATATATACCATGAGTCTAAAGATATTGTGACTGTTACTGAAGAGCAAAACAGACAAGGGAAGCCAAGTTATGTCTTTGTTTCTAACTCAAGGAGTTCAATTTTTAAATTTATTTATTATTCTTGAAAAAAAGAAAGGGTGTTAACTGGATGATATGTGTCAGTCTGATGGAAATTGCATGAGTATTTTAAGAAATTTTTCACATACTTTGAGAGTTTTTCCACCTGTGTGATGAAAAGGTAGACTGTGTTGCTGCTGAACTTTGTGGTGAACCAACCTTGTTAAGCATAGATTTTAGTCAGACAAAGCGTCACTAATGACAACAGGATCAGATGCCTTGCTTGGAAGAATGGGAAAAAAGCGTCTTCACAAACTACAAGAACTTCTAATACTCTTGAAAAGCGCCTGCACTTTTCTCCAGGACAACTTTTTAATAACTGCTTAGTCATGGAGGCTGCTTTTTAAAGGTAACTTAAAGGTGGTGAAGAGATAGGTATGCGTGCTACAGATTGACTTGTTTAGCTTCGTGCTCTTTGTAAAGACAAGTCTGCTTCATTGTCCCTCTTGACTAGGAAACCAAAGCCATTTTTTATTTAAAAGATAAAATATATGCTGTTCTGATTTAAAATCTTCATGAAATGACTGATGTCTATTTGTTACTCCACCATAATCCTACATGTGTATTCCAGAAACTTACTGAAGCCTTTTGGTGGCACCAGAGCACTCGTGAACTGCCCAGTTATGGCCAGTAGTGGCCATATTTTGACATAAACTTGCACATATTAAGTTAATACATTCCTGCAATCCTCTTAAGGGCGTTGTCTTTTTGGATTTCTTGAAGCAGTAAAGTATATTTTGAGGGAAGAGAGGAGTATAGATTATGTTGACTAGGTGCTGATGTGATAAGATTTACTACTTACTGTAAACTTCCCAAGGCTGAGATAAAAAAATAGCATTTGCCTGAAGTGAAAATAGGCTAAACACATTTTTGGGTCATTACTCAAATGCACTTTCTGCTGCAACATTGTCAGGCATTCAAGGAAATCCACCTAATTTTTTTCAATTCCTAATTCATTGGGCATATACATATCAAGGATATATTCTAGACAGGTGATCCAATTTTTTTAGCTTTTTACTGATGTGCAGAGGAAGAATACAGTGGTTGCTGCTTTATTCTTGTAAAAGGTAAAAATGCTAGGGATATCAGGAGTGTGAAATCTGTTCATTCCTTCTCCATGTATAGACTTGAATTCTACAGCCTTATTGGGCTTCCCAATATGACACTCTGAACTTCCTCTTTTCTTTTTTCCTTTAAAACAAAACAAAAAAAAAAAAAACAAAACCCCCAAAAAACAAACAAACAAACAAAAAACAAGCACAAAACAAACCAAAAATTTAAGACAAAAGGATCCAGCTATGCTGGGTCATCTGCAAACTACATACATGTTTGTAGTTTTTTACAGGAGGGAATGGGATGCAGGTCCAGTGTGTAATGCTGTCTTGTCTACTCTTCATCTTTGTTCCTGCTGTGGTTGCCTCTTTTTCTACCCCATTTCTTTTGGGTAAAATTAAGCTGGACTATTCTGACAGTAAGTAAGAGCCAGGGATTACTTGACGGGACTTTGGAGACCCTTAGTCCATTGGTCAGAGATTTTTTATGTGGGATGGTCTTAAATGATATAAAATGTTTGAAACCGTGTTTAAAATCACAGTCAAAAGTAAAAGCATCCTATTTTAATAAAATATGGGGAGTGTCTTTGTGAAGGACCTTTGGTGTGGGAAATATCTACAAGGTGTGTAACTGTCTTCACCAAGAATAATAATAAAAAAAAAACTTTGCAAAACTAGGCTGCAGGAACCAATGTTGAACTTTTTCACAGTAGTGCTGTGGAAGCTAATTCCTCAATAAGTGTTATACTTTTATTCAGATTCAGAATTAATATCAGTCAAGGTGGTTATTTTTCTCCACTCAAAACTGAAGTAAAATTGTAGCTAACACCAAAAAACACAGTGAGACTTTGGAGGGGTGGACTTACTCTTTTTTTTCTGATAGAGACCTAATGTCTGATTCCCCTTAATAAATGAGAGCGGCGTTGTGGAAGGAGGATTTGTACAAGGTAAGCCTGTGTTTGAGCTAGCTATTGAACAGTCTGTCCAAAGGAGAGTGGGGCTGAAATGTGGGAAGGGCTGCTTATTTCTGTAGCAAGGTACACTGTCTGTTCCTCAACCATTTTCCTAGGAATAGCCAAAGTGCATCACCTGCATCATGCCTGTCTTGGTTCCTCATTTTGGAATTCTTTTGGGACTTATTGCTTTTTATTTACATATCTGCATAGACATTGTAGTTGACAAAAAGGCTACAGTTAGGAAAGTCTTAGTTTTGTATAAGCCTCTGTTTGGATGCAGGTAATGCACAGAATTTTAATTATTTAAATTTAATAATTTCAATTTAAAATAGTAATTTAAATTTTTTATTTACAAAACTTGAAGAAGCAGAGAAGGAGCAAAGGAGGATGGAGCAGAGAGGTGGTCTGTGCTACTGTGATACCCTGTAAGTTGGTAGGGGTAGTAGGTAGGTGTGGTGGTGCATTAACAGGGTTTGTGTATGCTGCTTTCAAAGATCTTTTTGTGATGTTTCACCCACTCCTGTCTGTAGTGCCACTTTCTATCTTTTTGTTACCTGGAAGCTCTTCCAGTAAGAGAAAACTACCTGGGCAACTAGTTTTTTTCCAGCACTGTATGTTCAGGTTTGGGTCTTCCAAGCATCCCAGGAGCTACAAAAAAAGATGTTGATGGTACCCTGGAGTTTACCTGACCTTCGTGTTTCTCACATGCAAGTGGGCCGGAGCTGGCTCTGCTCCTTGCACTGCGTTCCAGGAAACCAACAAACCGACACATTTCCTCCCATGTGACAAAAGGTGTCTGTCAAAGTTTGAATTCAGATTGAGAGGTTGCTTCAAGAATGATTTCCTAATTTTTTACTCTTTTCTTTTTTTTTTTTTTTGTAGCCAGCAGGTGGCAGCCGCTGTTAGTACATCTGTGCAAATGAGCTCTTCATCCCCAGGGAAGGCTGCTCTCCTTTCTGCTCTGCTTCTGCTTTTAGTCTTCCTTCACACACACTTGTCACTGGGATTTGTGCGTGAGCTTTGTAGAAGTTAATAAGTACTTGATTAGAATAGGGATAAAGCCAAGCATAAAGGAAAAATGTTTTTTAATTGATCTTGCTCAAGATGTTGTGCAGAGCTTCTCATGCTGGTGCTGCAGATAAGAAGGCAGCTGAAAGTTGAATTGCATTAGTATTGAGGAAATTCAGTATTCAATTTAGAGGTAATTCAAAACCAGTTATATTAAAAATTAGTAATGTGAGTTGGAACACGTATACAATGTCAGTTCTAGGGAATATGGAAGATAATTCCCAGGCTAGAAAGCAATGTTAATTTTACCTCTGAAGTTGTTAGGCACTTTTTTTTTTTTAATTTTCTTCATTTTTAACATGTGGATCACAGAATTTCAGATAGTCATACAGAAAGAACTCTATGATAGAATCAGAAAGATTCGGGTTGGAAGGGACCTTAAAGATCATCTAGTTCCAATGCCCCTGCCATGGGCAGGGACACCTTCCACTAGACCAGGATGCTTAAAGTCCCACCTAACATGGCCTTGAATGTTTCCGGGGATGGGGCATCCACAACTTCCCTGGGCAACATGTTCCAGTGCCTTACCACCCTCACTGTAAAGAATTTCTTCCTTTAATCTAAATCTATCCTCTCTCAGTTTAAAGCCATTACACTGTGTCCTATCACTAAATGTCCTAGTAAATATCCCTCTCCAACTCTCTTGTTGGCCCCTGTGTATACTGGAAGGTGCTATAAGGTCTCCCTTCTCTTTTACAGGCTTAACAACCACAACTCTCTTAGGCTGTTTTCATAGGAGAGGTGCTTCAGCCCTCTGATCATCTTTGTGGCCTCCTCAAGACTCTCTCCAGCTGGTCTACATCCTTCTTATTTTGGGGGCCCCAGAACTGGATGCAGCACTCTAAGTGGGGCCTCACTAAAGTAGAGTAGAGGGGGAATCACCTGATGGCCACGCTGCTTTTGGTGCAGCCCAGGATATAGATGGTTTTCTGGGCTGTGAGTGCACATTGCCAGGTCATGTTGAGCTTCTCATTCACCAACATCCCCAAGTCTTTCATCCCAGGGGTATTCTCAATCCATTCTCTGCCCAGTCTGTATTTGTGCTGACCCATGTGCAGGGCCTTGCATTTGGCCTTTTTGAACTTCATGAAGTTCACATGGACTCACCTCTGAAGCCTACTAGAAAGTTTTACAGATGCACATCAGAAAGGTTTAAGGCCTTTTTTCTCTCAGCAGCAGACTCCATATACCTGAGCATCTAGACTTGAACCCTGTCAGAAAAAAACATCACCCAGTCTTCATCAGTGGTGTAATGACAATGGAGAGCTGGCTGTCCAATCTGACACACAACCCTTTGCCTACTCCAGGCTTGCTCTGAGGCAGGTCTTCTGCCTCTTGTTGTTTTTGGTACAGGGTGCTTATGAATTTTCACCAAGAAGAAGATAGAGTAATTGGGTCCAAAATAGTCCTTTAGAAAATTATAATCCTGGGTACATAAAATTATTGGAACTGACCTCAATTCTTACACCATAATCACCTTGCCAAGAGGAGACTACAATGATCTGGTTGCAAAAGCAGCCTTCCTGCTACGATTGAGGATAGAAGTAGTTGTCTATATTAATAAGCTGTATTACTTAACATCTCTCACCACTGCTCTTGAAGACTGCCTTTAACACCTGGGCCAAAATGTAAATTAATACAAATTACTTTTGATTAAAACCATTATTATTTTAGCACAAAAAGGAAGGGGGTGGTAGAAAGGAATGTTCTCTTTTTAAATATTTAAATACTCATTATACCAAAAGGATACAAATTACTGGCTGACTGACAACTTGCTAATAAGAGCTTAAAAATGCAAATAGAACTATTATCTCAATTGACACTAATTGGAACTCCTTTGGCAGCCTGGGAGGGCAGGGCAGGAAGGTTTGATTGTTTCCTAGAGCTGGAATTGGGTTGGCAAGGAAGTATGGGGAAGATGTGCTGTGGATAAACAGGTTGCTATCTGCAGACATCAGAATTCATTATGTTATATTTCAAGAAACTGTTCTGAAGTGCCGTCGTGCGCCTATGTACAATTTTGGTGACGACTGCTGGTGCCCTGGGCTGGTCTCACTCATGCTCACATGGTGCAGGCCTTGCCTGGGCTGAATTGACACAATGGGAATCCAAGCTGCAAATGCTCAGGTCTCACAAAACAGCTCTTACATCTTTTGGGAATCATAAAAATTCACTGCTTTAAAATTTACTGAATTATAAACACTTTTTAAATGCAGTCTTAGAGTAGCTACACCATATGTATATTCCTTCAGTAATTAATGTGTATATTCTCCAAGCAAAATTTGCTTCCAGAGGGTATTGCTTGAATTTTAATGCTTTGATGCACAGAAATACAATATGCCTATTGTTGTCTGATTGTTATAACAGTGAAAATAAAATGCACTTCTATGTGCCAAAATTGAATGTCTGTGATTAAAGGTTTCTTCTGTTACCCAGCTAGATGTTTTCAATGCAAACTAGTTCATGTAGAAAACAATGTTAAAATTATATCAGCATATATTGGCACTGAGGCACTCAAGCTCTGGTTGAGAATATATAGCATGGATTTATGCAGCTCTTCACCTGCTCCACACAATTCTACCCTCTCTTGCCTTCAGATGGTGTCTCCAATGTTAACATAATGGTTAACATATGATTGGAACCTGATGATCTTATGGGTCTTTTATGATGTGTTGGTGCACATCTTATACCTCTTAAATCTCTTACAGCTATGCTTCCGAAATAAGTGTGAGAAATTGTTTAGATAGGAAAAGAAAGGCTTTTTTTTTTTAATTTGCAGGAGTTCTTCTAAACATTCAGTGTTCTCTTTCGTAATTTCCTAAATTTCTTTGCACTTAGGTAGCACCTTGCAGAAGTGACTGGTTAGGTACAGGGTGTGCATTGCATTTCTAGCTCAACCGCGGTAGTTACCTCTTGCCAAACCATCTCACCTTGACCTCCCTCCAGGCTTCTGGGAAAGCATGAAGCACCATGACAGATGAAGTGTTTTGTTGTTTAACAGTCTGTTCACATTTCATTTCTTCTATATGCAGTAAGTGGTGACCTTGTTTAATTTGGAGATGGATGAGAAAACAAGAGGTGATGTTTGTTGCACACACTCTGCATATCTCTCTTTAAAAAGGACTTTCTGACCTGACGAATTGCTCTTTTATTCTGATGGAAACCAGATATCTATCAGGGATGGAGCAGTGATAATTTTTAATTAATATCATAATGAATTTCATACAGCTTCTCCCGTTGACAAATGTTTTAGTCTATGCTCTATCAGAACCATTAAAAGAATAATGCAAAGAGTGTGTTGGTCTTTCCTGAAAGATGTAGTTTGAGGATATTTGTACACTTGCTAGCAGTGAAAACAAATTTAAAAAAATCCCTACTCTTCCAGTAATGACTATTTTCTGCAAAGGTAAGTGAGTTATTTTGGAGATATATGAGGACATTGGGGTGTATCTGGAACAGCAGGTGGCTGCATCCTGACACAGTACAACTCCAGGGAAGCAGCTGCTGTGTGCTGTTCTCCTGTCATTCTGGGAGATGTTTGCTAATGCAGTCTGTGATATGTTGGCTAAGGGAAGTGTTTGGGCTCATCAGAAGAAAATTTCGTCATTACCGAAGTTTGCACGAGGACTTGCTCAGTATCTCTTAATGCTAAAGCCATTATCTAAGCCATAGTTTAAGAGACATAGTTTAAGGGACAAAGTCTGTATTTAAATAATGGCTCTTGGTAGCTCTGAAGGAGCTGCTACTGGCATGCTCTGAATAAACAGCATTTTAAAGAATCACTTTAATAATTTACAAAAACCTCTTGATGTTATTCTGCTCTAGCTAATGATGACTGGCTGCAGAACCTGAGCTCCCATGGCGAGGTGCATACGGTGGAGCCAAACCCCCCTCCCAGCTCTCCAGTTCATGGACAGAGTATGTGTGCCATGACTCTGGCTTCCCAGGGTAAGTTTGGCTGCAGCCTGCACCAGGGATGGCCAGCCTCCATGCAACAGCAGAGAGATGGAGATGCTGGATGGAGATTATGTCCTCTGGGTCATGCTTGGGCAAGGCAGGCTGCTGAGATCTTGACTTCGGCATCCCCATCCAAGGGAAGAGAGGTTTCTGTGTGTGAGGGAGACAGTGCCTACCAGAAGAGCAACCACCTGTCAAGACGCAGATGAATGATGTGTTTCTGGGGGAAAAAAGAAACAAAAAGGGGGCTGAGCATGTTGGAGGCGGGCTGTTACATAAAACTGCCTGTAGCACCTCCCCAGTGGTGACCATTACCAGCATCACCCTGAGTTTACTCTTCATGCTGATTTCCTGGGAAGATTTTTATTGCTTTATTTAAAGCTCACTTGCATTTTGCTGACAGATGCCCTTGCTGCAGTGTTATTGATTAGCTTTTGCAGCCTGAAGGGTGTCAGACTGTTGCCATCAAAAAGAGCTAAGTCTGTGTCACGATTGTGGCTGGCTGTTGTGGAGACAGTGGGGGATTTAGTGAAAGCCTCTCCAAAACCTGCAATGGCTCTGGAAAGCTGGCCCTGCCCAGCGATCGAAAGCATAAGTCGCCCAGTGGCCCAGGGCTGCAAACAATGCTGTCCACTACATAAAAGTGTTTAAAAGATAAAGAAGCCTTAAAAGGAAGATTAAAGAGCATGGAAATTATTTAAAAATCCGTTTGAATTACTCAGTAATGTATAAACTATATTGCTTAAGACTAAAGGCAGATAAAAGATGTAAGAATAAGAGTTCCTGGGTGAGTCTCCAGGATCCCAGGATGCTTGTGAGGACAAATGTTTAGAGTGAGCCCATGGTAGGGACAGGCAGCTGCTGAGCTGGATGCTTGCAGATGTGTCATTTGTGCATCTCCACATCTACCCTAGGCCTGCTGGGCAGGCACAGCCCCACAGCCCCAACACGGCACAGCTTGACCGAGCAGTTCCTGCCAGCACTGAAATGTGATGAGGGGCTTTTTTTGTATTTTTGGTAGAGTCAGTTGGAACATTTCAGACAGTGTCTTTTGGTGTATTTGCTTTATTTCTAAGTTGGAATAGATATCTATACAAACATATAAATCAATGCCAATTTTAACCTTACTGTTCAAAACCCAAATTAGCACAAATCTGACATTATTTTACCACCAGAAATTAAAATGAGTTGTTTCCAAATGCCAGATCAAAACCACTGATCAGAATGACAAGTAAAAGGAGACTGCTCAGCCTTGGCAGTGGAACAATGGTAGTAGTGCCATGACATGCTTGAGGGAAGGGATGCCACCAATAACAATTTTTACAGGCACAAGGAGTGAGCCTATGTGAACTTCATGCAATTCAACAAGGCCAAGTGCAAGGTCAGGGCAATTCCAAGCACAAATACAGGCTGGGCAGAGAATGGATTGAGAGCATTCCTGAGGAAAAGGACTTGGGGTTGTTTGTGGATGTGAAATAACATGATGCAGCTCACAGCCCAGAAAGAAAACCACATCCTGAGCTGTATCAAAAGCAGTGTGGGCAGCAGGTTGAGGAAGGTGATTCTGTCCCTCTACTCTACTCTGGTGAGACCCCACCTGGAGTACTGTGTCCAGCTCTGGGGCCCCCAGCACAGGAAGGGCATGGATCTGTTGGAATGAGTCCAGAAGAGGGCCATGAGGATGATCAGATATTTAAACTGAAAGAGGGTAGATTTAGATTGGTTGTAAGGAAGGAATTCTTTACAATGAGGGTGGTGAGGCTCTGCAACAGGTTGCCCAGAGAAGTTGTGTCTGTCTCATCCCTGGAAGTGTTCAGAGTCAGTTTGGTTGGAGCTCTGAGCAAACTCATCTAGTGGAAGATGTCCTTGCCAACGGTAGAGGGTTGGACTAGGTGATCTTTAAAGGTACCTTCCAACCCAAACCATCTATGTTTTTTCCAGAAAAATCAGTCCTATCTATTTACTGGATGCTATTAAATAGAACTTGTGCTGTCCTCCAAACATTTAAAGCCCACTCTCTGTGGCTTTCTCCGGATGCAAATATGTTTGCAGTAATTGCCTCTGTGGGGAAGTTTGTGAGATGTGCAGGCTGCAGGGAGTGAACAGTGGAGCTTTCGCTTTACTCTCTACATCTCACAATTCAGTGCACATGGGCTGTGAGCTCTGGGAGCACTGTAGGCTCCCAGGCTAGAGGAACAGCATTTAAAATTTTTTTCTCTTTTTACCCTTCTCTGAGCATTATTCAACATCCATTTCCACAGTCCTTTTGCCATGTTGTTAGTCAGTTTCCCCGCCTCACAGTGGGAGCTCATACAGAAGTTTATTAGTTTGAAAATTAGTGCTGGCAAGACGAAGAACTGGCAGAGTGCCAGTACAACCACTGTGTCTCACTCAAGTGCGGTCCCTGTTGTAAGTCAGCTTCAGTTTTCCTACCATAAACCCCCCCACTTAGCTAGATCGCCTCCTACTTAGCTGAAAGTGGGATCTGTTTTAAGCATGGGCAGGCTTAGGTGCTGCTTCTAACCTAACAGGAGAGAGGTCCTGCACCCACCCACTTGTAATGGGGGCAGTTCTGCTGATGCCTTAGGTAACCTTGAAAATGGAGGTTGTTGAGTTCACTTCCAAAATGGAAAAAAACAACCAGTGAATCCCTTTGTATTACTTATTACTTGGTTTGTGTATACTGCCTGTTTTCATTGCTGATTCATCTGTAATGAAAGCTCACATCATAGCATCAAACGGAGAAGTATAGCTTTCAGCAGGGGGAAAGAAGATAGATCTCCAGATGCCCTGGCATCTGGTGAGATGTATGTAGCATTTCAGGACTGTCCTGCTTATATAGTAACCAGAGAGTTTAATTAAAAAGATAATTACGCTCACTTTTTTTTCTCTTATATTGCATGGATTCCAGTCAACGGGTGCTTTTATTGTGAATCTGAGGGCTAGAATTTATTAAAAGCTTAACTTTCAAATAATAAACCTACAATATTGGATGAATTCCACAGCAAATTATTCCACTTGGAGCTGGGCAGTACACCACGCCCTTTTCATTCAGACAACATGCTTCTTGATTTCCATCAGGTTAAGGATGGATGGCACCTTGTGTGACCTGGGGCAATCTCAGGAATTCCTGTCTCCAGTAGCATATCCTCCATTCACCAAACACACATGAGGAAGCTCACAGCCTCCCTGCAAAAAGAAACCATTAATTTGATATTTCTTTCCAGTCTCAGACCACTCTTGCTTGGATCTAAATCTCATTCCAGACCAACGTGGGAAATAACTCCATTACTATCACCAAAAGAATTATGTTGCAAAAGCCCCAGAGTAGTTTTTATTTAAAATGTTACTGTCATAAAATTCCAGACTATGAAATGAAGACCTTGGATTCCCATTCAAACATTACCCGCCCCCCTTTTTAAAATATATAGATACGTAGTCACAGAACATAAAACATGCTGTAATGATACAAATATATTTTTTGATACAGAAATTACAGTACATTATAAACATGAAAACAAATTGAGGCACTAGACTGAACATCAGCTCTGTTCTGCACTGGCTGTGAAGCTGATAGACTCGCTTTCAATGAACAAAAGAATATTTGCTTGGTTTAGTAAACATAACTTTACGAGTCATATCAAATGATGTGCTTTGTTGTGAGACATCACCAGGGTTGCTGGTCCTTTCAGAACCACAACACACCTACACAACATGTATCACTGCCACAATATGAAAAATAATAATTTTATTGAATGTACAACTCAAAAAAACCCCAACCCCATCAGTTGTTAAATAAATAATTATTCCATACAGTGGTTAGTTTATATTACACTGCATTGGCCATCAGAACAAATGAAGTTTAATAAATAATGCGCAGGAATGTCTTATTTACGCCTCCGTTCATAATTCTGTGCTATGCTCCCTTCAGAGGACCCTGCAAAAAATGAAGCAGAATGAAGCACACAGTGCAGCCTTGCATAAACCCCTGCAAGCACAAGAAATGTCAGAGACCTGCAGCCAGCTGGGTCACTGCTGGACCTCAGTGGCATATTTGGAACAGAGGTGAGGCCTCCCTGGCCAACCCTGAGCTGCTTTGATTTGGTTTTACCTCTCAGACTACACTGTCCTCCTAGAGGCCAAAGGTCTGAGCAGTGTTTTCTACCTCTCCTCTGTTGAGCTGCTTGAAGTACCATTAATTCAGAGCCCATTTACCTTCCAGTAATCCATCTAATTTATGGGATCTGAGCATTCAGGTCAATTTGTGGGTAGAGGCTTTCTGCATGGACATGTCCACCTTCATTCCTGCACAGTCAGCTCTTTGTCAGGTTTAAACCCTCCCTGTCCCCAAGCCCTGCACACAGGGTTAACTTTTACTAACGACTGTGGCAGAAGCCAAGCTCCTCAGATTGACTCAGACTTCCTGTGGACTAGCTGCAGCCTAAAATAGTCTTCAGTAACGTATTTTGTGTTTAGTAGTGGTAGATCTCTCCTTCTTGCTCTTTTAAAATGAGAGTGAACCCCAGAGAGCCCTTCTTGATCAGATCTGTCCCCAAAACAGGGACTGAGACATCAGCATCCAGGTACCCTGCTTTGTCACACAAGACTTTAAATCAGCACCCCACTCACACCCAGAAGGACAGTGTAAACTCCTGCACATTGCCAGAGTTCTCAGGGGCTTTCTGCAGAAGAAAACCATAGCACCAGGTAAAGATCCTGCCCAGTTAAACATTTTCCATTAGGGAGAAGTAAGGATAGTCCTAATGCTTACTACTCCTGATCTTGATCTGATTACACAGTCCTTAGGGGAAGCAACTTCTTACCATTTCCTTCCCAAGGAGTCAGGCAGAAGAGCAGCGAATTCTAGTTTTACCTGTCAGGCAGGTATTACACAGCCCAACAGGGCAAAACTTCATTATTCGCCTTTGTTAGAAATACCACATAATAGTAGCCTGACTACTAGCAATTTGAAATTAGGGCAACAAAATCTTTACATTTTTTAAAACATTTGCTGTACTTCATATTCTCATATTAATGTAAATGTAATCCCAATGGAAACCAAACCCACTTTATTACTTCCAGGCTATTTACTTTTGTGATAGCAGATATATTTACAGGTATTATGCATTTAACAGCTATTGCCACCACAGATAAAATTGTATAAAATTATTCATGATACATAGCAATTTGTAAAATGATGCAGAGAGCAATATTGCTAGTTTTAAATGGGGTTTAATTGAAAATAAAAGTTACTGACAACCATAATTGCAGAATGTAGATCACAGCATGTATCCACATAATATAAAGGTGTCAGCTAGTAATTTAACTTTTATCATCCATTTAACAAAACAGTGGAAACTATTTCAGAGATGTGAAATACATATTAGGGTTTTTATTTTTTTTAATTCCCACTCTGGAGAATCAACTGATACTTTAGTTCACACTGAGGGATTTCCTCAGTACAACCCTATAGCACAGGGAAGGTAGAGCTAAAGGCAATTTGCAGATACCCACAGGGGTTCTGCACATTAGAGGAGATGAGAATCCTGCCCCATATGGATGCTATGGAAAATAACACAAATTCTCAGTATCCGTTCAAAGCTTAAAATGCTTTGGGTGAAGTGAAAAGCTGGAAGAGGCTGGGAATGTTTAACAGCTTGATCTGCAGAATGAGGTGGTGTTCTTCCACCTTCTGCTCCACGTTTTAGCAATAATGATCTCCAGAGACAATGAGGATATTCCTTTACCCGATGAGATCTGGATTTGGACCACAAGTGTAAATGAACTTTACATTTTCAGACTCTGAATTTTTCTTGGCATGTCAGTAAAATTTAGATTTTTTTTCTTGTACTTTGGGGACCAGCAGAACATGCAAGGACAGGGCAGTAATGAAAATGTCCTGGGGACTTCTACCCGAGCTCTCCTGCAGCTCAGATCAGCCTGATTATCTCAAGAATTGGAGTGAAGCAAACCCTGAAACATCTTGGGTAACAAAGAAAATCCTGGGTCTTTTTCAGAGAACTCTGAGTCTACACTACATAAACACTGCTTCTTCCATCCGCTGGGAGAGAACAAAGAGGCAACGGAACGAAGAGGCTGTATGTCACCAAGTATCAGATTTAGTCATATACATACCAGAATTTAAAGATCTTTTGCCCATAAGTCCAACAAAGGAGTCTGTTTTATGCCCTGAAAAAATATATTTAGGGGTGTTTTAATACATTTTAACTAGGCAGGCTTCTAAGATAACGTGTTTTAGCGAGGAAGGAAGATAGGCTCCAAAACTGTTTATCTCACAGACCAGTTGTTCACATCCCTCTCAGACAACAAAAAATGAACATCAGCCTGACTAGTCAGATTTAACAGGTTAGACCAAGGCACAGGCCAGTTAGCGGACATCTCCTCATTAGTTTAGATAGACTTCTTGTTTTGTGGATTTGTTTCTTTAAGTATAATGGAAAAACAATGACCACTAAAGGATTCTTATTTCTCTCCCAGTACAATTCCTACTGATTTGAGAAAATGCACAAGGCAGTGTCTTGGTATAGCCTGCATCTGTGTGAGGCATCTCTTCTACCTGTTGTTTTATTTCTGTAACGTGGAAGAAAAATCTCCCTCACAGGTCAGGCAGAGCCCTTACTGGAGAGAAAGCCAATGGGACTCTATGTCTGGACACGTCTGAGCTAGACAGTCTGGCTTTGTATTTGGAATATTTATGAGTTCAGGTATTACCTTCCTGTCCCATTAGTACTTCTCAAGGCACTGGATGAGCAGAGGATAAATTACTCCAAGTTCTGGCCTACAGCATATATCAAGATATAGTAGCTATATATGCTATATATGATTTTTGAGGTAAACTTAGAAATTTCTCTTTGGAAAGAATTTTACTCGGCTAATTCATCTACAAAACAAGATCCTCGGACCTCACATGTATTAATTCAATCTGAAGCAGTTTCAGAAATCTATAATTTTTTTACTTTTGTCAGCAGGTTATTTGGCATGAGCTTTGTATCAAAGTCTTTATTGGTCTTCAGAGACATAACCCTAGTGAAAGCATCTTATGGATAACAGAACACTGGGACAGTTGTTGACCTCCGTGGACTGAGGAGGTGTCACAGAATACAAGATCATTTTTACTTACTAAAAGTCTTCCAGCTTGTGTTTAAACATCTTCAGATAAATTCAGAGAATAAAACTATCACTGCGCAGAACAAAGTAACACCACAGTGCTGATACCATCTCCTGCTTGGTGTTACACAGAAGCAGAGCAAAGCACAATATTAATGGGGCAAGATAGGCTTGTTCATATGGCAGCACATCATCAATCAGCCCCTACTGTGAGCAGGGATCTGATTCCCAGCCAGACAATGCTGAGAGCACAGATACAGCATCTCGCATGTGAGGACATGGGCTCTCCTGTGAAAGCATTCTTGGGGATTTGGAAATTCAATACTCTAATTTTCCAGATTTTGTCATCTTAATTGCTCCTCTCTGAGTCTGGCAGTAAGCCTGCCTTGACTATAAGAAAGGCTTACAGAATCCTCCCCTAGGGAAATAAGTGAGAGCTGCAACATCCGCACATTAATATGGATTGAAATTTCAAAGCTTGCGGCAGCTCAGATGAGATACAGGCTCACAGCGGCACAGGGGCGAAGGTTTCAATCCTTTAACAGAACATTTCTTCACCAGCAATGCTGCCATTCCTCTGCTGAAATCAGTCAGCTTCTAACTAATCCCGTCAAATACACTATTCCCTATTTAATACTTTCTAATAATTACTTATTTGCATTTTTTAAACTTACTTTTGTGAGAGATCTGGCCATATCCTGATTGGAAGAGAAAAGAAAGAGAAAAAGGGGAAAAAAGAGTTGTTGTAAAAGGATTGGCATACACATATAATACTACTGCAATGTTTTTAAAAATCAAATACAAAAACTACCCTACACATATTCCACTTAAGGGAAATTAAAGTGATGGTTTACAACTGCATTTCTCTTCGAAGAGACTACAAAAACTTGTTTTAGCTAAGCCCACATAATTTAGATCAGTTTAGCTCCAATTTCTTAGATCAATTCTTGGATCAGTAAACATGGCAATAATTGTACACAGAACAGATTTTCCCACATGGGCAATTCAGTAGTATGTATGAATTATCATGATATTCCTCACCGGGATTTGCGTGCTGTAATTGGTGTGCATTTGGCACTTTAATGTGAAGCCCTCTCTTTTCCAACTGGTGAGTTTATCTGATATAAAACTTGAAATAAACAATCAAACAAAAAACCCCAAACCCAAACACCCCACATGGCAGCTTTTGAAAAAGACGTAACACACTAAACCCGAGCGACAACCGCTGTGGAGTTTGGGGAGGCACTAGGAGAAAGGGCGAGTGGAGAGGCGTGAGCAGCAGCCAGCCCCCCACCCCGCTCACCGGCATCCCGCTTGCCCATGAGGCCGAAGAACTGCTGGGGCCGGGGTCTCCGGGCCATCCTCTGCAGGAAGTGCTCCAGGGGCAGCGGCAGCTCCTCCTGCGGGGCGACAGCGGGCGGCGCTCAGCGCGGATCCCCCACCCCGTTTTGCCCAGGCAGTGCCCGGCACCGAGCCCCTCGCTTCCGCACCCCGCGGGGCCGCCAGGGCTCACCTTCGCCTGATCACTGTCGGACCAGTCGGACCAGTAGCTGAGGTCGTCGGTGGCTCCCATCTCCTCGGCCAGCGCCTGCGCCGAGGCCAGGAGGAGCACGGCGAAAGCCAGCGGGAGCCTCATCGCCGCCTCGACGTCCTGCGGGGGCAGAGGTTGGAACACCGGCATCCCGAGCCCCGGCGGGGCGAGCACGCACAGCCCTGCACACATACTCACAGCTGCCTCCGGGGCACACCTGGGGGCACGCTACCTCGCACGTGTAGACTCCACAGGCGCCGAGTTACACCACCCTCCCTTCCCCCCGACTGCTACAGTCACCTCTGGACACACGCATACCCCATACGCAGCTCGTGTGCACACCAGCACACAGTCACACACACACACAGGCACAGGTATCCCTCCACAGACGGACATAGAGGGTTATACATAAACACACCCTCACACGTCGATGTACATCCAGGTATTCACACCTTCCCAAATAAACACACCCAGCCAGGTACATCCCCCTCATACACACACCCAGGTACAGATGCATCCACTTACAAACTCACACACCTTAGATGCTCACACCTACGTAGGGATGCAGCTCTCTACACGCACACAGAGGTGTCCAGAGGTACACCCTCATTCCTTCAAACATCAAGACAGGCACAAAAACATGCTGGCACATTCAGAGGCACACAGGCAGGTATAGGCACCCACCCCATAGAAGTACACACATACAGACCCCTCGCACACACAAAGAAGTACCCACGGACACTCCTCACAACCATACGGACAAGCGCACCCTCACAGGCACGGACGGACTCCCGGAGGCGCACGCACCGTCAGCAGCGCGGAGGGCGGGAGCTGCTCTTCGAGCGCATTGGCCGGCCGGAGGAGCGCTCCCCACTTTATATACCTGGAGACGGGGAGGGCCGAGGCAACCTCATTTGCCTAAATGCAATTATCCCCGGTTTTGTGGTCCCAGCCCCGTGACAGCTCCCCCCCCCCGGGCGAACAGCTCCCGCCCCCCTCTCCCGCTCCCGCGGGGTGCGCGGCGGCCGGGCGGTTTCTCCCCGACATTCCCCCACCACACTCCCTCCCGCTGCAGCTCCGCGCCCCCGGGGCCGCCCCGCACCGCCGGGGCGAGGGCGCGTCCCGGCTGCGGCTGCGGGTGCGGACGCGGGATGAGGCTCTGGATGTGGATGCGAGATGCAGGCGCGGACCTAAGGCTGCGAATTCCGCTTTTGACTTCTGCCCCCCCCGCCCCGTTCCCCCAGGGCAGGGAGAGCTGCTCTCCGCTGCGAGCGGCACCGCCGGAAGGGAGAACGGGGCAGGGACCAGAGGCGAGCGGAATGCAGGGAGCGGGCTGCCTCCCGTGCCCGGGCAAGTTCCTTCCCCCCAGGTCTGCCCTCCCCGTGCAACTGCTCAGGCGGCCCCGCTCGCTGGGACCAGAAGTGAGGAATGCGCGAAGCTGAGAAGCGCCTGGCTGGGTGATTGCACCCCAGGTTTGGCGTGTGCGTGCTTGCAGACGGGCTGCCGGCACAGGGCAGCAGGCTGGTACCGCTGGGCTGACTGCTGTGACAGGCGAATGCCTTTACTGGAAATGAGCCAGTCTCTCTAGCAGCACATCCCTGCCTGCATCCTTCCCCTACGACAGCTTTGCACTGCTGCTGGCATTCGGCTCATATAATTACTTAGATTATCTTCCCTTTCATGGTTGTTCCATCTTATTTCTCCAAGGTCAGCTGTGCATGAGGCTTCTCAGCTAACCTTGGTGGTCTCTCAGCCCCCATGTTATCATGGTGCATGGTACCACAGCCTAAATCGTGCAGTCTGGACAGAGTTAACAGTGTTTCTTTTGATAAAGAAAGGAGTACTCAGAAGCTGGAATAAGCTCCTTGGTACCACACCTCTGCTTGCTCCAGGATGCTACCATTAAGGTGACAGTGGTAAATCTCCTCTAGGAGGACCATTCATTAGTATATAACCGTGGATCCAAGAAGGACCTGGGCCTTCATTCTCTAAATAAAGACATGATTAATCCCAGGCCTCTCTGTTAACCAGAAATGCTGCTCAGAACACAAAATATTCCCCAGAGCACAGCCAGGAATAAGACTCTTCCAGATTCTAGAGGTGTCTACTCTTTGTCTATAGGACTGCACATAAATAAGAAAGATTGTGACCCAGTGAGCTGAGGGTCCCTCTAGTCAACACGATCTGCTTTGACAGGGTGGTTGAGAAAAACAATGGTTTGGAAAAGCCCAGCAAGGGACTTCATGCAGTACCTGATGTGGGCACCTCTGCTGAGACCACGAGTGTGAGTGGTGAGAATGCTTCTCATTCTGCCTGTCGAAAGCTGGCAGGAATGGCAATGTTTAGCAACTCGGGGAACCCAAACCATCAGATTTTCATGCTGCAGCTTTGATAATTCCCTTTGATGTGTGAACTTTGAAAACTCTTGAAGAAAAGTTGTTTTCTTGTGGTTTTTTTCACTATGTTGTTTCTGTTAACTATAGTGACAATGGAGCAAAGATCGTATATATCAAACCAGGCTTGCCAATCCTACAGATGTTGATGAAGCTCATGTCTCACAGAAATCCTGAGAACTCCCAACTTCCTGTGAAATCAATTTCTATCACCCAGGAGTCCACAGAAAGTATGATAAGTTTTAACTAAAAGTCTCTATTCTCTAATTCAACATTTTACCAAAATGGATATAATCATAACTTGACCTATGAAATTACAGGGATTTTCTTTTCTGAGAGCAAGAGAAGAAAAATTAAAAAGGGGTTTGTTCTATTCTTCAGAAACTTTAATGAATTCAAGTAGTTTATCTAGACTTATTAGACTTATCTAATAGTTTTGTGGAAGAGAAAAACTGATTAATAGGTCAAGCTCACTTTTCTCTTTCTCAATTTCTAAAATAAATTGGCTGTTTAATCATTCTTTGACCTGCAATACCCAGATATTGCACTATGAACTTTTCAGGAAATGAGCAGATTTCATGGCTAATGAGCAAAGCTGATTCCTAGGAAGATTTTCTGAGTTCATTTTTGTCATGTGGAAAGGAGGTAAAAGACTCAAATAAGGAAGCAAGAACTACATCGTGACCTGGAAGCAGCTGAAGCTACCGCTTTTGTGCTCCCCAGTCACTGCCCTAGGGATGCACTAGAGCATGGTAAAATGTCCTACACAAACAACAAACCATGGTTTTACCAAAACTGCCTCTTTCTCAGACATATTATATTAGCATATGTCTATCTATGAGTAACCTTGTGAATAAATATGTGAGCTTGCATGTAGATACAAGGTGTCTGTGGTGAATATACCTGCTCTATCCATGCTCAGGGCACAGATCCCACCCTCCTGTTACAGTTAGACCATGTGATTTCTAACAACAGGGTGAAGAGTTTTGTTTATGAATCTCTTTGTTTAAGAGATCATTAGACTCAAAGTAAACCAAATAGGGGTTGACATATCCTGTGAGGGTGACAAAGAAAGACACTTTTGGAGTTCTTATACAGATATTTTCCTAATCAAGGTTAGGAGCTGAACTAAAGGCACTTTTTGTAGCTTGAATCTCGACACTAATGGAAAACTATTCGGGAAGCAATTGCCTGTGAAACACACCTCAGAGAATTGTTTTTACAGTAGGCTTAATGTGATACCTCCTGTGTGATGATCCTTGTGAAACGTTTATTTGAATTTTATGATGATGTTTTGGTTTCCAGTAAAATGTCCGATAGTTTAATGGTAAGTCACATTGGCTGCTACACTGTTATCAAGTGATTCTCATACCATTAACAAACAACAAATGTACAATGGGAAAATAGCAAATTACATGTGACTATGTAAGGTTTTATCCAGAATGCAGATCTGAATATTCTGAGTATGCACAATTTCAGAGCACTTGACATGAAAAGAATGCATCTGGCGTTGTTCTTCAGCGGCCTTATGCAATACAATTACATGCTATGTATTTAAACCTAGACCCTAATTCTCATGCATTTTGAGATCTCTTCGTCACTTTACCAAGGAGCTACAAATAACAGACAGCCAGAGAACAGTTATTTTATATAACTTCAACAAATTAGGGATGAGATGCAGTCTACCTAGGCACAGTGATCCTGCCTGTAAATATACCAGACCTCAGCTCTGTTTTCAATCATGGCAAGAAGACTGGAAATGTTCTTATCCAAAGATACAACTTTATAAACATTGAAAAGAGAGACCATGATTGATGACCTCCTAAATTTTTCATAGATATGTGTCTCCAGGGTAAATAGAATGATTTTGATCACAGATGAGGGCTCTTTGTAACACAGTGATTTATTTTGGCACTGTAAGATTATTGGCAAAGCACACGAGTGGCATTGGAAAAATTAGCAGAACTCACAGTAGCATCTTGATTTTCTAAGTAAGTGCAGACAGGTTATTGAATTAGTTTTTCACCTGTATTTTAATTTTTGCATTACAAGTTTGTAATCTTCAATTTTTCCTTTAATGAAGGTTTACATTTTCAGAGCATATGCTTGTACATATAAATGCATATGAAGCATATGTGATAATTATACATCTCTCTCTCTCTTCCCCCCTCTCCATCTATAAAGAATGAGTGATTATTCTTCTGCCTGTGCAATAAGATATTATAGGTTCAATTATGTTGTGCTCACAGACAGGCAAGGAGGGGAGCAGTGAGAACTGCATGCCACAGGAATGCCCTTTCCTGAGCAGGTACAGGCAGAAGCAAGGCTGATCTCACCCTTACTGACTCATCTGGTAAGAGCTGGAAATGCAATGATGGTCTTTGATTCTCACTTTGAAAAGTTAGTGGGTTTCCCCACTCTTCTGATCTCTGTCATCTTTTACACTCCCATCGCTGCTCTCCATCCACTAAGCCATTATTATCGCTTGCAACTTACTTAGAATAAACTTCTTTAACCCCAAAAGTGAGGCCCACTTTTGTCCACACTAAGTTAGACATCAGGGTGGAACGTGAGACCAACTGAAATAAAAATAAATATCAGGGTGTTAAGATGCTGAATGTAAACATACAATATAAATATTGCAGAGGAGGCAATCCCCCCAGCCTAGTATCTCTAGAGGCAATCATGTGCAAGGGAAATAATTGCAGTCCTGTCGAGCTTCTTGAGCTACTCAAGAGAGCATGTCCTTAGAGGAGAAAAAGCATTTATTCTCAGCTGTTTGGAGATCTCTGAGAGAGAGAAACAAAGCTGTGCAAAGACATCTGTACATCTGCAGGAAGTGTGGAGGAGCAGGTGAGGAGAAGGGCCTCTGTGGCATTTCTAGATCTGTGTTATTTGAAAACAGATGTGAGAAGAACTGGACTTGCAGCTACGTGGAAATGCCTTACCATAAATCTCCAAACAGTTTTCACAAGAAACATGGAATATGCAATGTTTGCTAATTTTGGTAAAAAAACCTCACAGAGAATGACATACTAACAGCACACTTCAATAGCAGATACCGGATGGTATTCCTCTCACAGAGACAGTGTCTGTTGCTTTTAACCACGAAACCAGGTGGGGGTTTTTTTCCACATTTGCCAACACTAACAAAATGGCCAGAGACAACCACGAAATGTGGCACAAAATATTTCCAAAAGCTGAGGCAGTAGGCATCACTGGTCTTAGCTTGACCAGGAAAAACCTGCAATATGAACTCTCCTCACAGTGCAAAGGACTCAAAGAGGCAAAGGAGCAGATGCTTGAGATTAAGTTCATCACTCTTGGAAGAAAATTGCTGACATAGTGTTGTTCTGATGCAAATAAAGATCCTGTTTTGTCTCCTTAATACTTATTAGATTACAAATATATTTATAAATATATTTGGTTTGATTCAAACCAAACCTTCTGAGTCTGGAGCTCACTCTCTAAGGCTTTTTGCTTCAGTTGTCCAAGCTTATTTGCAAACTACCTCACAGTGATCTGT